CATGCTCCAAGCAGCTACTATCCCTCTGGACTGAGCACAGGAGGAACGTAAACAGTGGAGATAAAAACCTACCCATAGGTGGCATAACTCAAGCTCCGTTAAGCCCAATCGGCAGAACCTCAGCCAACATACACGTACAGATTAAAGAGCACAGGAATCAATGCTTGTTATTTTAAGCTACTGAGTTGTAGGGCTTAGCTCATTATGGAGCTCTACTGTGGCAATGTTGACAAATACAGCCAATAACGGGTTCAAGGATTGAAGCCAGGATTTACAGCATAGGCCTGTCTGGCTCAAAAACCCACTGTGGGCATACCTCAGAAATGCTGCAGGTTTGGTTCCAGGCACCAGAACAAAACAAATACCACAACAAAGGAATTCAAAAGAATTTTTGTTTTCCCAGATCACATACACGTTATGTTTTCATTATACTGTAATATATTGAGTGTGCAATAGCATTGTTTAAAAAAACAATGTACATATCTTTAATAAAAATACTTTATTGCTAAAAAATGCTAACCAGCAACTGAGCTTTCAGAGTTTAATCACTGATCAAAGATCACCATGAACAAAGATAGTTCCAAAAAAGTTTGAAAATATTTTGAAAATTACAAAAATATTGATACAGAAACTCCAAGCAAATGCTATTGCAAAAAAATGGCACCAACAGACTTGCTCTATGTTTTCTACAAACCTTCAATTTGCAAGAAGCACAGTAAAACAAGGTATGTCTATATTATCTCAACTATGTCAGAGTGTTCTCAACTGAATTAATATCCACACAACCTGGATGTACTGGGTACACAGTAGAAATGCAGTAAAAGTCTACTTTATTAATAAACATAAATATTAATAAATGACTTTTGTAAAAATTTTCAATAGGCTATTCATATTACCTCTCACTCTCACATCATTAAGCCACTGATTCAGAAACACTGTGAAGGACATTACTTTCATTTCTCAAACACTGAAGACTTTCTTCTCCTATCAGTTCAGAGTTACACACACAGACAAGTCCAAAAAAATACTTCCAAATTAAGACTTACATCAGTAAGCTGCTATGTGCAAATGTAAAAGATAACAAGTTTAAAAAAAAAAAGTTCAGCAGTATTTGAGAGTGAGGCTTTCACACAGATATGCACAACAAATATTTATTATACATCTACCATTCCACTACACACTCCTCTATGCAGTGGGAATATAAAATCAGACAAAATCCCTACCCTCATGGAGCTTACTTAAATTCTGGTAACACTTATACAGCATAATGGAATTTTTCAAATGACTTACATGTATTCATTCACTTACAACTCACTTGTAACTCCTCATAAACATGTGAGAGACTTGCTAACTCCATTACAGAAATGAAGAAACTGAGGACTAAAAATGGTAAGTAGTTTTCCTAATGTCACAAAACAAGAAGCATAGCCCGCCAGGGGTCTGGGCTGAGTCCATACCTTTGACCACTATGCTACACTGCTCCTTTGAAGCTTTCATAATAATAAAAGCGTTTTCAGGTCAAAAAGGATGAACTCACTCACAAAATCGAGCTTACATATAAATGAAGGATGGGAGGGTAGCAAATGTAATGATCTTGAAGATACAATAAGTAGAAAAAGCAAAAGTAGGAAGAATGCATATTTGTTTCATTATGGCAAATATCTAATTCATAACTCTGAAATAAATCTTTTCCCATACTGATACAGGTGCCCTCATTTTATTTTGTTTAATAATTTTTTAAAAGGTGAGATAAAGTGCCTAATATTCAAAGAGCAGTTACTCCTCATTTTGGTATGTATTAACAACCTCAAAGAAGAAAAACTCCAAAACTATGTGCAGATCCCAATTTTGCCAATCTTAAATTCTTTTAACAGAAATTTTAAAGCAAGGCATTAAAAAAAATTATTTGGAGGACCAAATATCTATTTCTCTCCTCCTATGAACTGTAACTAAATTTCTGATGTAAAAAGACTTTGTTGAAAATAGACATTTCTGGGTACAAGAGTCATTAACAACACATATACCCACTGGATGTCTGACTTCGAACTTAACACCTCTAAATCAGAACTGCTGAACCGCCCACCTGCCCAACCTGCTCCTGTCTCAATCTTTCCTAGCTCAAGAATTGGCAATTCCATTTACTCCAAGTGATCAAAACCTCTGAGCTATTCCTTACTTTCTCTCACCCCATATCCAATCTATCAGCAAATCCTACTGGTTCTAATTTAACAACCTATGTAGGATCCAGTATTTCTAAGTCCTCCTGTTCAAGTTCTTCTACTCCACAGTTAGTTCCCTGCTGCCACCATTACCCACAGCCTTTTCCACAAAGCAGGCAGATGAATCTGTTAAAACCCAACTGAGCTCGGCACTGTTTGGCCCAAAACATCTCAACGGCTCCTCATTTCACTATAGTATCTGAAATTCCTACTGATGCTCACAGCCCCTACATAATATGGCCCCTTGAGTCTTACTAAACTTTCCAAGCATGCTCATGTCTCAGTCCTTGGACCTGCTGTTCACTCTGCCTGGAATGCTCCTCTTCCCCAAGATGATTTTCATGCCTTCCTCCTCATCACTCCATTCATGTTTTGCATTCCCTTCATCTTGTAAGAGATTCCCATAAACGAAGAATTACCATTTATCTGCTTACACCACTTTTTTCCCATAGCACTGACTGCATCTAAAGTAAACATGTATTTATTGTTTGTCTCTGCCACTGCAAAGCTTGCTCCACAAGAGCAGAAACACTGTTTAGTTCACCACTGTACCTGACTCCTGGAACACCTGGTGAAAGGACCATATGTGATCACCTATTAGCCCAGCTGATTCTGATAATATAAACAAGTGAGTGCAGTGCTTCTCAAACTTCAGCATACACCAGAATTGCCTATTGAGCTTGGAAGGCAGATTACTGGGCCTCACCCCTACAGTTTCTCACTCACCTAGTCTGGGATGGGATTTGAGCATCTGTAAGTTCCCAGGAGGTGTGGTACTATACTTTTGGGACCACATTTTGAGAACCACTGATCAAGACAATGCTATACCCTAAAACATCTGACTAGACAGTAGTTGACCAAAGCACTCAATCTCAACTGGTGGAAGAACAACAGGAATATGGTGGAAAGTGCTTCCCTCGGGACCCCTTCTATATTAAGAGAATTGTATGGAACATGTATCTTTTAAACAATGCAATATAAATATTCCTTCCCTGAATAAAACTTATTTTGAAGAAAAATGGGACCCAGCAGATCAAAGTTATATTCTCTAATGTGATTTTATGATCTTACATATTTTGTTAATGTTTAGAGCGGACATTTTATCCTTCAGAGTTTAAATGACCAGATGAGAAGGGTGTTATTCTTTAGAAGATACTGAAACACCAAACAGTAGCGGACTCCAACTGGGACACCTGCCCAATCACACTTTCCATCTCTAGGAATCAACAGAACACCCAGGGTAGAACCAGAGCGGTCATGTCCAGGTTACGTCAGTTAACCTCACCTCCAGTCATGGCAGATTGGTCCAGAACACATTCTCTCTCCTAAAAATCTGAAATTTGAAGATGGATTCTGGGAGGCACTGATGCCAAACTGTGTTACCATCGAGTCTCCACAAAGAAGAGAAGGTCTAAGCTCCTCCTACTGAGGCTCTCAGAGCTACCGTGGTTCCTGTCTTACATGAGGCTTCATTCTCTAGCAACTCCTTCAATCCTCTTATATCACACCCATTGCCTTGCAACAGACTCTTTGCTGACATCATCCACAACTGCTTATATATTTGCAATCAAAAATATTTCTAAAAGTCAAAGAATTAGCTTTAAAGAAACTGTATTACAAATGCAACCTGTGAAATATCAAAGCTTCTCCCATTAATCCAACTTAAGACATTTATTTTCTATCTTCAGACTGTCCAAATATCAATGAATCTTAGAGTACATTTTTTACCTAACAATACCAACTACTTCTTGTATTTGCTTTCAGAAAAATCCTCTGAACCCTAGCAAAAAAAAATCACTATTTGCCTTTATTCAAGGTACTAGATGCCTGTTACATGCCAACATAAAGTGCACTAAGAATACAGCTGTAAATAACAGAACAGGTTCTTGTTTTAAATACCTTATATTTTGACAGGGAAAGAGAGAAATAAACAAATAAACAAGAAAGATAACAGATAATAAGTGGCAATGCAGAGAAATAGAGAGACTTATGTGAAACAAGGAGTAACCAGATTGCTTTTTGATAAAATGATCAGGGGAGGCCTCTCTGAAGTGACATTTAAGCTAAAATCTTAATGACAGAAGAAGCCAGACAGCAGATATCAGTGTATAGCTAATATAAAGATCCTTAGTCTGGGAATAGACTCAACTACTTCTAACAGCCAGTGTTTCTACAGTGTACTGAGGAAGAGGATAAATCATTTAAGATGAGGTCAGAGAGACAAAAAGGACCATACCACATAGGGCTATTCAAAATTAACTGGTATAGGACAAGGAAACTTTGCAACAAGATGCTTACAGAGAATAGTTAAGCAAGGGACTAAGACGAAAAAAAATAAAATAACAAAAAATTACAGTGGATACCGAATCACTAAAAGGGAACAACCTTAGCTGTCACATAGTCCAACCTCTCACTTTACTGAAAGGATGAGGTGGCCTAGGCTGTGATTTCTCTGAGGTCAAGTCAAAGATGAGCAGAGAGTTAAACCTGGTACTCTCTGACATTCAGGTCAAAGCTCTTTCCATATTGTTCCCTTAACTTGAAATCTAAAACCAAGTGTTTGTATCACGTGCGTTCTCAAAAATGAAAGAGCAGCATTTAAATGAAAACACATTTAAAAAGAAATGTTGTAAATTATCCACGTCAAATTAGTCACACTGCTAGTCCCTCACATAAATTTTTTTTAAGCAGCTGACAAAGCTTAAATATTTGGCACCAAATGTATCTCTTCCCAAAGTATATGAAGCAGGAAATAATAATAAAACAACAAAATATACTTACATCTGGATATTCTTTTACAGGCACATAAAGTTTCTCTTGTAACTGAACAATAGGTCCCACAGCATCAGGCAACTCTGCACTCCTTTTCTCTGTACTGCCATTTAATGTGTCATTGTACATGTCTTTCCGTACTCTGCTAATTTCTGTTAAAAGTAAAAATTTTAAATGTGTTAGACAAAAAAATATTCTTGCTAGTCGAGGAAAAAAATAATAATAAGGGAGGATTTCATTGATAAAGTGTTAAAACTCAAAGAAGTAAAGAATTGTTGACCTATTCTGTCATTCCCTGGATTAAGTCTGTTTACAGGGACCAGAGCCTTAATTTCTACCAGAAATCAAAATTATATTTTATATACATTTTATTAAAACTAATAATGTATTCATATATTTTATTAAAACATCAGAGCCCAACCTGTTCCGCTATGACACAGACCTGTCATCATTTTACCTGATTTCTCCATGCCTATATAGTCAGTCCAAATGATATTTCAGTCAAATAACCATCCTAAGAATGTCTCTAAGACAAAAGTAATACCAAAAGCTCTCTTATACTTCAGAACTAGTCTGAACGAGATTTAAATTAGACCACTTCCTTAGATATTTTAGGTATTTTTGGAATATTCAAACCAGAGATGTTTAACAGATACGTAGAGATTTTCAGTTCAACATTAAGTCTGAGTTTGATACACAAATGTATTGGTTAAAGCTATAGGAACAGAACACAGGTCTTACAGAGGGGTACAGGGAGAAGGAAGGACTGAACGAATCCTGGGAAAGGCAACATTTAAGGGGTGAGGAAAAGATTCAAACCAAGAAGATATGAAGGAAGATAAGAAAAGTAGGGAAAAGAGGTGTTAAGTTAAGAAACAGCAAATTCAAGGACTGGTGATCAACAGTTTCAAATACCACAAAAGTATGGTAAGGTTAAGAGCAAAACAGAGTACCCTAGATTTGACCACTAAGCCTTTTGGTGATTAAAGAAGTTTCAAGGAAAAGACAGAAACAGAGATCAAACTAAATTGGGTTAATAATGAATGAAATGCAAGAAACAAAGCAGAGACATCTAAAGTCAATGGCCTTTTAAAAATTTAATACACATCTTTTAAAAACATAAAAGGTATGAGAAATACATTTAAGTGAATCAAATCCCAGACAAAGGAATCAGTTAATTCTTTCAAGAATTCTTTATTTAAGCTTCTATAATATGCTGAGGATAGGCCCTTGCCCATTGGAACACGCTATCTAGTAATAAAAGGGTTGCCATTATTAAATTAGCTAGATGCCTCTATAACTGTCTCCATGCTGTAGATTATGTCCTTATTGGGCAAAAGACCTGTGTGCATTAGTATTTACAAATAAATAGCTTTTATTTTTTAAATGTATTTTGTATACCTTCCAAACATGGAATATCAATCTACTGCTATTAAAGAACTATCAAATACGAAGTTTAATTTTCTTAACTAGTTATTTAAACCACTTTCACTTAAATAAAATCCAACACAGTAAAATGACATGATCAAAGATTTTCTTATCCAGTTATAGTCTTCATCAGTGAAAATACTGCACTACATTTTCTGCTTCAGTGAGGCAATACTCATTTTAGAACAAATCTTATTTGTTAAATAAAAATTTCCTTGTCAAAGCTTATGAAATAAGTATCTCTAAATAAAAAGGAAATTTTAAAAAAATCAAGATAGTACCTTAGATTTAACTACATTATAAGGACAAGATTTCATTCTTTAAGTTCTTTTTTATACTTCTAGTTTCATTATGAAATCTTTCCTAAAGATGCTCAATATCAGATTTATGTTTATCTTGGATTAGCATATAACAGCAATTCTCAAATCATTTCCAATGGCCAAGTTTAATTTAAACATGACTGTTAACATAATTATGTCATCACAGCAAGTAATTACCGAAGGGTATTAGAAAAAGTTAATCAAATTAAAATCACACACGTCCTTCAGTCCAGGTCTCTATATAAAAGCATTTTCAGTACTAATGTAATTTCCTCCTCAGAAACTGACCAATACTAATGAAGTTACTAACACTAATATAAAAATTTGAAAATAGCACTAAAGTAAACTATAGATAAAATGCCCTTATAAATGTAGATGCAAACATCCTAAATGAATAGGTTCCACCAGCATATTAAAAGAATAATGCACCAAGACAAAGTGGAATTTATATTGTGAATGCAAGAATAGTTCAATATTTTAAAATCTACTAACTATATAAACTGAAGGGAAAAAAAGATTTTCCATGTAAACAAATTTATCAAATTTAGAAAAACCAAGAGAATCAATTACAAAAAAGTTCAGATGACTAGATTAGAAAATATGTAAACATACAAAAACCAGCAACTTTCACATAACCAACTAGATGATACAATGAAAGATACATTTACCACTTAAGTTGTATTTCTATAAATATTTTGGTGTCCCTCTGATGAACAAATGAAACTGCCATGGATTTTGTAAACCACAGTATTCACAGCTCTTAAAATAATGCCTGGAACATAGTGGGGCTTCAGTTAGCACTCAATGGACTGGAAGGGTGAGCAGGTGAATGAGGGAGGAATGAGAGAGGTTTTGGGGGCATTAAAGTTAGACAAGTCAAGCTTCCAGTTCTTAAAGAAATCAGTCTAAAACAGGAGGAATATAAACAGATGTTCTACGATAGAACAGCAGTAAAAGGCATAGATTAGAGATAGCAAAGCACAAAAAGGAATCATCATCTCTGCTGAAGGATATTAGGGTCAAGAAAGAAGTCAAGACGAAAGAAACTCTGACCTGCTTTTAATGAACAAAAAGTATGTGAAGCAAAAGTACAAACAGTATGTTTATAAATTCTTTCTTAAGACAAATAGTTTTTCTACCATATTTCTTTCAATTTAGTGGCAGAACACAAATTATATACAGGACAGTACTAATGGGATTGAAAAGATGACTGTAACAGTTCTAGTCCTCAAGAAATGTATAGTCTTATTTATTGTGGAGTCTAACCAGCCAAGTACTACCTTCCTCAACAGCCCCTCTCTAGCCAGGAAATCATTAGCACTTCTCAGCATGTTATTGACAACAAGTTCCGACTCCTGTTAGAACAGTAACTGTGATTTTAAACAAGTTTCTTAACTTCTCTGTGGCTATACCTCATATAATCAGAGGCTGCTTATTGAATGACTCAACTGAATATCCAGTAATGTCCAACATTAATAATGTAAGGACCCACTTATTATTTTCCCCCATAATTTAACCACTACATTTTTTAAAGTTTTGTCTCCAAAGCTTTGATTCCATAAGCCCTGGTATCAAGCTTTTGTTAAATGTTATCCTATCAAGTTGATATAACATAGCCAAAATGTCACACAAGCATATCATGTGTACAGGTATGGATAATGCTTTAGTTCCTTCATAAGCGGTAGGCTCACAGGTGTTCATTATATGAAACACAAGAATGCTTCATCACTAATATGTTTTATTTATACCTTGTTATATCAAATATTACATGATAATGCTCAAATGTCCCTTCATCGCTATAATACCTTCACCAATGTGCAGCAATTGTTCAGAGGATTGTAAGTTCAAAACTATTTAATCACCTAGTATAAAATTTTTCATTATAATAATCCAAAAATATCCCCAATATCAAAACAATTGTCTTGGACATTTCTGAAGTTCTGAAATGTTACAAATTTTACTGAACCAAAATATTTCCTAAGAATTCTCCCACTCACCTCCACTCAATCCCCACAAAGCTTATAAAATAGGTCAAATGCCTTTTTCATATGACAGCCCTACAAATACCTGAGAAGTTCTGTATCTAAATGTCCTCTTCTTTAAGCTTTGTAAGACAGGGTTTTATACCCTTCTCCTCATTTAGATATACTCCATTTGTCTATGTCCCTTTTAAAATGGAAAACCCTGTACCACAAACATCATTCCCTGACAACTGAGGAATATGCAGAGTGAGGCTGCTTACTTCCACCCCAAATACTCCCCTTCCACAGTGTATTTAAGAACGTCTTTACTTCTTTGGCCAGCACATTCCATACTTCTACAACTGTTTAATTGGACACCAGTAGATGATATAAATTTTATTCCTGATTGTTTTCTACTAGACAGATCCCTGTGTTAATCTATCAGCTGACATACTGCAGAGTTGACTTCGACTTTCTATGAGTCACGAATCCAACTAACTGCAGTTTCCTAACTTAAACATTTCTCCAGCCTGGATACTAAAATATAGGTATACCTTATCAATGATCTCATGATATCTCAAGCTACACTAGGACTCCTGCTGTATTCATCAAGTCTAAACAGGAATTAATCTGCTTTGGAATGTACAGGTTGTGCCATGAAATTAGAATACAAACTTCACAGTTTTTGGAGTATCCACCTTTCCAAAATTCAAGCTCCTCCCAATTTCCATGTTTTCTTGAATTGATAGTCAGTGATCACATTTTTTTCAAATTTCAGTATCTTGAAAACTTTCACACATTTCTCTTAATTATCTTGCTTTTTTCCTTTTCCAAACTAAAGCTCAATTATCAGTGAATTCTGTTCCTAAAAGAAGCAAAATAGTCACTGCATAGTTCTGTTTTACATGACCTGTTAATACTATACTGTCTGCTATAAGCCTTTTCCCTTTCCTAATTAACCTAACTATGTATGGATTTAATTAAAAGCTTGTTTTAAAATCACTTTCATTTCATAAGTCTCAGCTCATTTTTGCCTTTGGCTTTTCCATCAACATCACTCCTATTATATCTGAAATTTTGTATTTGTATCCCACCTTCTGCCACCTTAAAATTTTGCCAATTCTTTTAAAAATCTTAATTATTGGGATTAACTAACAGATCAACCACTCTGTGGAACAGTACACATCAGAATTAAAGACAACACGAAGAAATATTAGAGAATAGAAAATCTGGGCTAAGATATCTTAACTATGACATTAGTCATTTCCCAAGATAGACAGATAATGGCTGTGTATAAATTAAATCCTCCAACGTTAGAAGACTAATTAAGAATAGCCCTATTTTACTTTCTGGTTTAGAACTTTTTCAACAAATTTAAACCAAGAAAATAAAAATTAGGAAATGAAATATGAAAAGTATTTACTAGCTCAGTAGTAAACAAAA